CCTTGTCCCCTGTTCGGAGTATAATACATTCGAGAGAGGAAGAGTCAGAGTCCAATGGTGTATTATTGAAATGTGATACTTCTAAGGTGTCCTGTGTAGTGTGGTGATAGGGCCTCCTCTGGAGGTTCGTCTTCTAAGGTGTCCTGTGTAGTGTGGTGATAGCGCCTCCTCTGGAGGTTCATGTTCTAAGGTGTCCTGTGTAGTGTGGTGTGATAGCGCCTCCTCTCTGGAGGTTCATGTTTCTAAGGTGTCCTGTGTAGTGTGGTGATAGCGCCTCCTCTGGAGGTTCATGTTCTAAGGTGTCCTGTGTAGTGTGGTGATAGCGCCTCCTCTGGAGGTTCATGTTTCTAAGGTGTCCTGTGTCATGTTCTAAGGTGTGGTGATAGCGCCTCCTCTGGAGGTTCATGTTCTAAGGTGTCCTGTGTAGTGTGGTGATAGCGCCTCCTGTGGAGGTTCATGTTCTAAGGTGTCCTGTGTAGTGTGGTGATAGCGCCTCCTCTGGAGGTTCGTTCAGGTGTCCTCTAAGGTGTCCTGTGTAGTGTGGTGATAGCGCCTCCTCTGGAGGTTCGTGTTCTAAGGTGTCCTGTGTAGTGTGGTGATAGCGCCTCCTCTGGAGGTTCATGTTCTAAGGTGTCCTGTGTAGTGATAGCGCCTCCTCTGGAGGTGGTGATAGCGCCTCCTCTGGAGGTTCATCTTCTAAGGTGTCCTGTGTAGTGTGGTGATAGCGCCTCCTGGAGGTTCATGTTCTAAGGTGTCCTGTGTAGTGTGGTGATAGCGCCTCCTCTGGAGGTTCATGTTCTAAGGTGTCCTGTGTAGTGTGGTGATATAGCGCCTCCTCTGGAGGTTCATGTTCTAAGGTGTCCTGTGTAGTGTGGTGATAGCGCCCTCCTCTGGAGGTTCATGTTCTAAGGTGTCCTGTGTAGTGTGGTGATAGCGCCTCCTCTGGAGGTTCATGTTCTAAGGTGTCCTGTGTAGTGTGGTGATAGCGCCTCCTCTGGAGGTTCATGTTCTAAGGTGTCCTGTGTAGTGTGGTGATAGCGCCTCCTCTGGAGGTTCATGTTCTAAGGTGTCCTGTGTAGTGTGGTGATAGCGCCTCCTCTGGAGGTTCATGAGGGATAGTCCACCTATATGCTTTACTTTCCAAAAACGCTGTTTTATCTCCCTAAAATGTATTCTCTTTTTTCATTGATATGTGTTTGTACAAATCTGCAAGACCTTCCCTAAGTTTCCTCTCCAAATCAGAATACAATGAATGTGTTGTGAATGCAGATAACAATCTCTCTGCATCTCCAATATCCTTCTCCAATGATAACATCTGTTTATTATATTCCGGGGCCAATATGGACATCATTTGCTGTGAGCATGATTGTAGGCTTTCCTCCGTTCCCTCTTGAATTCCTCACTTATTTTTTCAATGTTGGGAAAGATCTGGATCCTCCACCCAAGTGGGTTGATTTTTCTCTCGGGCATACTTATCGAAATTTTTAATAAGCCAAAAAATTGCTGATTTCTTTTCCAAGAGCTTTCCCAACCTCAAAAACAGCGAATACATTTCTGTTTCAGTTTGTTCTTTCTGGGAAAAGTCCACCTGATCAGAAGACATCAAATGTAGCCATTCTTGACCCCGGAACTCACTCATATTGATAGATCCACAATCCCATTCCAACAAATGTAACACTTCAATGGCAGAGGATGTACACTGTACAGAGGAAAAAATATGTAAATAATATTCATTGTAATGTGTAAACGATGATCATGTGCCTTTATTTTTATATTTAATAAAAGCTCTTTTCTTATTATCTATAGCTTTTGTAACTTTGGCCGTAAGCCACATAGGTTGGATTTTTAGCCTGTTATACTTGTTGCCCATGGGAATATATTTTGCAGTGTGTTCACATACAGTCTTTTTGAAGAACTCCCATTTCTGAGTTGTGTTCATCAATGCCAATATTCCCTCCCAGTCTATGTCTTGGAGAGCAGATCTCAGCCTTGGAAAATTAGCTCTCTTAAAGTTGAGCGTTTTTATTTTTCCTGTATGTGCTCGCTGTTTACAGCTAACAATAAATGAAATCATAAAAGGGATATCTCCTGCGCCACTAAATAAACTATTGTAACACAGCAGCCAGCACTAAGGGTGCCACAATCAAAGCACCAACAATATGCAGAAAATCAAAGTGTAAACACAGTGCGGCGCTTATGTAACCCTTACAGCACTAAATAATAGATGACCCAAGTACCTTAACACATATATATATATATATATATATAATATAAAATAGGTGATGAACTACTGTTCACATGCAATATAGTGACTGAAACACAGTAAGATGAATGGTGTCCATATATAAAAAGTAACATGCAAGTGTGCACTGCAAATTCCAATCTTCAGACTAATGAAGTGCCCCCCTCCTCAGACAGGTGGAGTGCCAATCCTCAGATACTGCAAGTGCCAATCCTCAAACAGGTGGAGTGCCCCCTCACCTTCCTGCCCAGGCCCCTAAGGACCAATGAGCCTTTGAATATGCACTTTTCCTCTGAACGTGGACGGATCCTTCTGCTGGTGGATCCCTCAGATGACAGTAATGGGCCTCTCCTCCTCTAAACTCCTATACCAATCGTTGGTGGTATCGATAGGTCTCCCTCCCTCACGGTCACAAATGAGGAAAGAGAGCTTGCATAGTGTAAATCCACTTTAATAGGAAAATTTTTAAAAACAGAATCTACTCACATGCTTCTATGTAAGATCATGCCTTTACACCACTCAGAGGGTGTACTGTATTCAGGACCAGGTGCACCAAGAGGCGCGCCCGCGCCGGATGTGACGTCAGAACGTACAATCGTATAAGCTCCTCCCCTTGGCGTATCTACGCGTTACCAGACGTCACCGATGGTTAAACACATTAGGTGAGCTTCATTAATATGGCGGCGAAGCTCAGCCCATTTGAACCACTGATTGGCTAGTGAATGAGATAAATTAAGCTCCACCCGAGATGGGCATATATCCTGATGAAGTCACGTGTGTGAGTGACGTAACGCGTAGATACGCCAAGGGGAGGAGCTTATACGATCGTACGTTCTGACGTCACATCCGGCGCGGGGCCATCTTGGTGCACCTGGTCCTGAATACAGTACACCCTCTGAGTGGTGTAAAGGCATGATCTTACATAGAAGCATGTGAGTAGATTCTGTTTTTAAAATTTTCCTATTAAAGTGGATTTACACTATGCAAGCTCTCTTTCCTCATTTGTGACCGTGAGGGAGGGAGACCTATCGATACCACCAACGATTGGTATAGGAGTTTAGAGGAGGAGGGGCCCATTACTGTCATCTGAGGGATCCACCAGCAGAAGGATCCGTCCACGTTCAGAGGAAAAGTACATATTCAAAGGCTCATTGGTCCTTAGGGGCCTGGGCAGGAAGGTGAGGGGGCACTCCACCTGTTTGAGGATTGGCACTTGCAGTATCTGAGGATTGGCACTCCACCTGTCTGAGGAGGGGGGCACTTCATTAGTCTGAAGATTGGAATTTGCAGTGCACACTTGCATGTTACTTTTTATATATGGACACCATTCATCTTACTGTGTTTCAGTCACTATATTGCATGTGAACAGTAGTTCATCACCTATTATATATATATATATATATATATATATGTGTTAAGGTACTTGGGTCATCTATTATTTAGTGCTGTAAGGGTTATATAAGCGCCGCACTGTGTTTACACTTTGATTTTCTGAATAAATGAAATCATGTTATGGTCACTGCTACCCATATGTTCTTTTATATGGACATTCGTAATATGCTCTGCATGATTGGAGATGACCAGGTCCAGCAGAACATCATTCCTATTTGGGGCTTATATGATCTGTAAAATAAAATATAATAAAATTGTCCTGTAGTAGGTTTATACATTTTTTCCCTTTAACTGTTCCTGCAGTACCATTACTCCAGTCACTTTCTGGGTAGTTACCATCTCCCATTATTATCACTGTCCCAGCCCTTTAAATCTGTGTGAGGAGCTGAGTCTCCACCTCCTCATTAACACTGGGAGGCCTATAACAAACTCCAATGATGACCTTTGTAGTACCGCCCCCCATGTGCAGTTCCACCCATAATCCTTCAGCCTCATCACACTCTCCATCAACTAGGTCCTCTTTCACACTCGCTCTGAGATCACTTCTCACATAGAGACAGACACCGCCACCTTTCCTATTCCCTCGTCTCTCCGAAAGAGAACCTAGCCAGGAATATGAATGGCCCAGTCATGTGAGGAATGAAGCCAAGATTCAGCAATACCAATTCAATCCTAGTTCCAAATGCACCAAACCTTCCAACTCACCTATTGTGCTGGGCACACTTCTGGCATTGGGGAACAAACACTTTCATTCACTGACACCTTGTTCACACGGATTTTGTGTATTTTTTTATTTTCATACAAATACCACTAGTTGTAACATGGGAAAGTTCTTATCTGCCATAGCCCTCCCATCTTTCCCCATTCCACCCCCCCAATAAGGACTGACCCGTCTGATCCGTCTACCCGACATAATCAAATTCTCCCTCCCTCCTCCATCCTAGTTTATATACTCCTCCAGCCTTCCCATTAACCCCTCCCCCAGCACAGCAGACCCCCTACCATTTAGGTACAAACCATCTCTAGCATATAGGCTGCACCCCAATGAGAAGTCAGCCCAGTGCTCTATGGCAGGACTCCATTTTTATTCTTCTCCTGCCATCAATGGCCAACCCGGTCCCACACTTCATCCATGTCTTTGGGACCTCTGAACTCCTTATCAACTGTTTCTTCCATGATGAAGATCAGCCATGGAGTATATCTGAGGTGTATATCAGGGTGTGCTTCTTCCCCACATGAGAGCTGGGATGTCCAGCAACATTCATCTAGAAGACATTTACCGCACTCAAGGCACTAATACACCTCTAGGGTTGTGTGGGACCCCCTTATCTACAGGAAGACAGGACTTGAGTGAGGAACATTTCCCTCACTCAGGACAGGAAAATTATTTCTCCACTGCGTGAGATCTCTGATGTTTATAAAGATGGGACTTCTGTGAAAAACATTTCCCGCACTCAGGACAGGAATATGGCTTCTCCCCTGTGTGAGATCTCTTATGTCTGTAAAGATTGGACTTAGCTGAAAAACATTTTCCACACTCAGGACAGGAATATGGCTTCTCCCCCGTGTGAGCACTCTGATGTGTGTAAAGACTGGACTTCTGTGAAAAACTTTTCCCACACTCAAGACAGAAATACGGCATTTCTCCCGTATGAGATCTCTGATGTGTGTAAAGTTGGGACATCTGTGAAAAACTTTTCCCACACTCAGGACAGGAATACGGCTTCTCTCCCGTGTGAGATCTCTGATGTATGTAAAGATGGGACTTACTTGAAAAACATTTCCCGCACTCAGGACAGGAATACGGCTTCTCTCCCGTGTGAGATCTCTGATGTATGTAAAGATGGGACTTACTTGAAAAACATTTCCTGCACTCAGAACAGGAATACAGCTTCTCCCCTGTGTGACAGCTTTGATGCCTGGAAAGATGGGACTTAACTGAAAAACATTTTCCACACTCAGGACAGGAATAAGGCTTCTCCCCGTGTGAGATCTCTGATGTATGTGAAGACTGAACGTCACTGAAAAACATTTTCCACACTCAAGACAGGAATATGGCTTCTCTCCTGTGTGAGATCTTTTATGCACATTAAGACGGGATTTATAACGGAAACATTTCCCGCACTCAGTACAGGAGAACCTTTTCCCTGTTGGAAGGCCGGTCCTGGTCCCGCACAGTCTGAGGTCCTCAGGATACGAGGAAAACCGATGGTCCATCTACACTGGGTGGTGTGTGCCGGAATGGACATTGGAGGGAGTCGGGTTTTCTCCTGGACTATACTGTGTGATGTCCTCATCTTCTACTTTCCAGTCTGGAGACAAAGTGAGACAATCCTCGGAGGTTTTCCTCATCTCCCGGCCATGGACTAAAATACAAAGACAAAGAGGATTACTAGACAGGAGCTGATTGGTTCCCCCAAACCAGGACTCCGCCCACATCAGGCAGCTTGGTCTCTGAGGAGCTTACAATTCCACCTTCAAGGGAACTAGGAAATGGCTCCTCTGATCTCCTACCAGGTCATTTCTTTATTCATGGACCTTAGTCAGAGAGTGAGGAAACAACACAGAACTGTCTTTTATAGGAGGGACAGTGATGAGGGGATTATAGGACGAGGGCCCCCACCCCCTCTATCACTCATCGCCATCTTCCCAACACAAGAAGTACTGCACTTCCTTATTTAGTCCATGATTTAGTTATGAAGAACAGCGGGGCTGAGCCCCACCAGAGGTCAGAGAGTGAGGATGGGGGGGAGAACAACCAAGATGAAGACTGGACTGATCCTGAAGACCACCATCATTGGGGTATTGACTCCTCCCTCATTATCACTCTGTTTAAGGGTCCAAAATATAAAATATCCAGCTGGTAGGAAATGGGGGGGGAACCAAAAGAGAATCCATATTATGTGTATATATAGCAGTGGGTGGAGGGGGGAGGGGGGGAGCAGAAGTCAGGACTATTGAATGTACAACATAGAGTATATAGTGCAGGGGTCAGGGAGTATTGTGACAACATGTACAACATAGAGTATATAGTGCAGGGGTAAGTAAGGAGTATGTAATGTACAACAAGAGTATATAGTGCAGGGGTCAGGAGTATGTAATGTACAACACAGAGTATATAGTGCAGGGGTCAGGAGTATGTAATGTACAACATAGAGTATATAGTGCAGGGGTCAGGAGTTTGTAATGTACAACATAGAGTATATTAGTTGCAGGGGTCAGGAGTATGTAATGTACAACATAGAGTATATAGTGCGGGAGGTCATTTAGGAGTATGTAATGTACAAGTTATATAAGGGTCAGGACTCACAGTATTAGTATTCTGTAATCAGTGGAAGCTTAAATGTTTACTGTAGACAACATGAAGAGGTGAGCTGGGATTAAACCATCATGAAAACAGGTTAGACTGGAGGTGAGAAAATCCTTGGACAGAGGGGTGGTGTCGGTGGACGTGGTACACTTGGACAAAGAGGGGTGGTGGTGGACATGGTATTACTTGGAACAGAGGGGTGGCGGTGGAATGGTATACTTGGACAGAGGGGTGGCGGTGGACGTGGTATACTTGGACAGAGGGGGTGGCGGTGGACGTGGTATACTTGGACAGAGGGGCTGGTGCGCGACGTGTATATACTTGGACGTGGGGTATGGTTTATACTTGGACAGAGGTGAGTGGTGGTATATTGGACAGGAAGGGTGGACGTGGTATACTTGGACAGAGGGGGTGGGTGGGTGGACGTGGTATACTTGGGACAGAGGGGTGGCAGTTCTGTTCCCCACACGGCTAATGTGTAAGGTAAGGTCTACGGGCTGGAAAAATCTGAATGTAAATGGATAAAAAAACTGGCTAAAAGATCGTTATTCAGAGAGTAGTGGTTAATGATTCATGGTCTAGGGGTATCAGTGGTGTACCCCAAGATTCAGTGTTATTAGTGGGGTATCCCAAGTGTTATTAGTGGGTATATCCAGGGATTCAGTGTGATTAGTGGGGTACACCCCAAGACTCCATGTTATTAGTGGGGTACCCCCAAGGTTCAGTTGTGATTAGTGGTGTACCCAGGGTTCAGTGTTATTAGTGGGGTACTCCAAGGTTCAGTGTTGTTAGTGGGGTACCCCAGGGTTCAGTGTTGTTAGTGGGGTACCCCAATGCTCCTCCGTGTTGGGACCCTTACTTTGTAATCTATATATACGATATGGTGTCAAGGGATTTCATTCTTTGCATGATGACACCAAGCTTGTGTCGGGGGAATAACGTCCTTTACAGGATGTCTCCAACTTACAAGCGACCTCAATGCTCTGTGTAATTGGGGGACTATGGGGCCAATGAGGGCTAATGGTGATAAATGTAAGGTTCTGCACTTGGGGGCTAAAGATATGCATGCATCATACATAATAGGGGGGTCCACAACTGGGGGGGACTGGGAAAGAGTCAATGGAGAAGGATGGGGGGAAATTGTGGAGAAGGATCTGGGGGGAAGGTCAATGGTGGAGGATAAGGATCTGGGGGAAATTGTGGAGATGAAGGATCTGGGGGGGGCATATTGTAGTGAAGGTGCATCTGTAGGGGCGAACGGGCAGGGGTCAAATGTTGAGTAAGGATACTGGGGGGGCAATTGTAGAGAAGGATCCTGTAGGGGCAGGGCGGTTCAAGGTGGTGACTGGAATCTGGGGGGCGGGTATGATGGAGTAGGATCTGGGGGGTGTCTCAATGGGTGATGGATCTGGGGGGCGGTCAATTGGTGGAGATGGGATCCTGGTGGGGGTCAATGGTGGAGAAGGAGGATCTGGGGGGGGGGTACAATGTAGTTGGAGAAGGATATAGGAGTTCTCGTAGATCATCAAGCTTTAATATGGCATGTAATTGCTAATGCTTCGGGTTCTATACTGTGAGCATAAGATCCTCTCTTGGTATTAGGAGAGGTATTAAATCGCCTTGCTCAAGAGAGTTGTGGATATCAACCCCCCTGGTTACAACTTTTTATATTTATACCGAGGCATGGAAGGAGATCAGCTATGTTGGTAAGATTAGAGGTAAACTGAATGGTATGTCGACCACTGAGATTGAGTGAGTGTTTAAGGGGGGATTAGATCTCGACTTGTTGTTGATTACATCTGATGGGGGGATATGTTCTCCATGTAGAATACACTTAAGGGGGGATATGATCTCCATGGTAGAATACTATAAGGGGGATATAGATCACATGTATTATACATAAATGGGGGATATGATCTCCATGTGATAATACATAAGGGGGGATTTTGATTCTCTCCAATGTATAATTAAATAAGGACGGGGATATGATTCTCCATTGGTATTAATACATAAGGGAGATATGATCCCCATCCTTGTATTAATTACATAAGGGGGGATATCGATATCCCATGTTATAATACATATAGGGGGGATATGATCTCATCATGTTCTAATACATAAGGGGGGATTATGAATCTCCAATGTATAATATCATAATGGGGGATAGTGATCTACAATGTCATTAATAATATAAGGGGGGTTATATGATTTTCTCCATTGTGTATAACTATCAATAATGGGGGATAATGTATCTCACATTGTAGAATACATAAGGGGGATATGATCTCCATGCAATAATTACATTCAAGGGGGGATAATGATATCCATGTATAATAACATAAGGGGGGTACTATGATCTCCATTGTATAATACTTTAAGGGGGGATATGATCTCCACATGTATAATACATACGGGTGGATATGATTTCTCATTGTTAGATATCATATGGTGGGATATGATCTCCATGTATATTATACATATTGTTGGGGGGGATATGGATCTCCATGTATAATACATAAGGGGGGGATATGATCTCCATGTATGAATACATAAGGGGGGGATATGATATCTCATGTATATCTACATATGGGGGGATATGTTCATCATGTATTGAATACATAAGGGGGATATGAATCTCCATGTATAATACTTTATAGGGTGGGGATAACTGATCGCCATTGATATAATACAATCAAGGGGGGATATGATTCTCCATGTATAATACATAAGGGGGGATATGATCTCCATGTTATAATACTAGATGGGGGGATATGATCTCCATGTAGAATTTACATAAAGGGGGATATGATCTCCATGTATAATTACATTAGGGGGGATATGGATCTCCATGTATAATACATAAGGGGGGATTATGATCTCACCATGTATAATACACTAAGGGGGGATCTTGATCTACATGTATAATACATAAGGGGGATTCGATCTCCCATGTTTAATACACTAAGGGGGGATATGGATATACATGGTATAATACATTTAAAGGGGGTTTATGATCTCCATGTATAATACATAAGGGGCGGGGATATGGATCTCCATGTAGAATTACATTAAGGGGGTTATGATCTAGCCCACTTGTTTAATATACATAAGGGGAGATATGATCATACATGTATAATTACTTAAGGGGGATATGGAATCTCCATGTAGATTTAATGTACAGAAGGGGCGGATATGATTCTCCATGTATAATACTAGAAGGGGGGTATATGAGTATCCATGTATAATACAAGATGGGGGGATATGAATCTCCAATGTATAAATAAATAAGGGGGATATTGATACTCATATGTTTAATAATTCCATAAGGGGGGGATATGATCCTACATGTATAATACATATAAGGGGGATATGGATCTTCCAAAGTATAATACATTAAAGTGGGGATCTATGATCCTCCAAATGTATCAATACATTAAGGGGGATATGATTCTCCATGTATTAATACATATAGGGGGGATTTTGATCTCACATGTATAATATATTAAGGGGGGGATTATGGATCTACAATGTATTAATTACTTAGGGGGGATATGATCTCCTTGGATAAAATATAACACTAAGGGGACGATATGACATCATTCCATGTATTAATACATAAGGGGATTATGATATCCATGTATAATACCATAAGGGAGGATATGGATCTCCAATGTATTAATTCAATATAGGGGGATATGATCTCCATGTATAATTACATAAGGGGGGATATGATCTTCCAATGTGTCCAATACAATAGTAGGGATTTGATGAATACCTCCTCTGTATAGTACATAAGAAAGGGATATGCATCTACATGTATAATATCATAAGAAGGGATATGATCTTCCATGTATTTAATACATAAGGGGGTTATCTGATCACCCATGGATACATTAATACATAAGGTCGGTGGTTTGATATCCATTGTATAATACATATAAGGGGGGATATGGATCTACCATGTATTATACATTAAGAAGGGATATGATCTCCAATGTATAATACATAAGGGGGGGATATGATCTTTCATGGTATTAATACATAAGAAGGGAGGTATGGGATCTCTACATGTATAATTCATAAGAAGGGATATGATATCCATGTATTAAATACATAGAAGGGATATGATTCTCCATGTTTGAATACATAATATGGGAGATGATCTCCATGGTATAATTACATAAGGGGGGATATTTGATCTCCATGTTATAATCGAATAAGGGGGGATATATTGGATCTTCCATGTATATTTACAATAAGGGGGGGATATGTATCTTCCATGTATAATAACATAAGGGGGGGATACTGATTCATACAATGTATTAATACGTTAAAGGGGGGAATATTTGATTCAACATGTTATAATTACATAATTTCTAGAATTATGATCTCCAAAGTATCAAGTACAATAAGGGGGCTTATGTTCTTCCAAGTTATTATACATAAGGGGGATATGATCCTCCATGTATGGTAATACATTAGGGGGGATATGATCTCCATGTATAATTTACATAAGGTGGATATGATCTCCATGTATTAATAAATAAGGGGGATATGTCTCACAATGTATAATACATAAGGGAGGGATTATGATCTCCATGTTTAATACATAAGAAGGGATAGAATCTCCAAGTATAATACAAAAGTTGGGAATAAGAACTCGAAGTATCAATACAAAATGTTTATATTATCTCCTTAAACTACAAAGGGGGATAAGATACTCCATGTATAATACATTAAGGGGGAATAAGATCTCCATGGTATAATACATAATGGGGGGTTGATGCGATCCTCCATGTAAATAACATTAAGGGGGATAATGAACTCCATGTATACATTACATTAAGAAAGGGATATAGTATCTCCATGTAAATATAAAATTTACATAAGGGGGATATGATCTCCATGTTATATTACATTAAGGGGTGAATAAGATCTCCAAGTATAATACATAAGGGGTGGGATATGATCTCCAATGAATAATACATAGAGGGGGATCATGATCATCCATTAGTAAAATACATAAGGTGGAAATGATCTCCATGTATATACATAAGGGGGATAAGATCTCCATGTAGAATACATAAGGGGGATATTGAATCTCCATGTATAATACATAATTGGGTATATGATCTCCATGTATTAATACATGAGGGGGGGAAATGATCTTCCATGTATAATACATAGAGCGGGTATTATGAACTCCATGTATAATACATAATGTGTGATAATGAATCTCCATGTATAATACAACGGGGGGATATGATCACCATGTAATAATACATAAGGGGGGATATTATCTCCATGTATAATACATAAGGGGATATGATCTCCATGTATATTACATAAGGTGGATATGTTCTCACCATGAATAATACATAATTGGGGATATGAACTCCATGTATACATAACATAAGTGGGTTATCTGATCACCATGTATATAATAAATAAGGTGGTGATATGATCTCCATGTTTAATACATAAGGGATATTCTCCAATATAATACAATAATGGTGTGATATGATCTCCATGAATAATACATAAGGGGGGATATGATCTCCATGTATAAATACATGAGGGGATATATCTCCATGATAATACATGAGGGGGATATGATATCCATTGTATAATACATAAAGGGGATATGATATCCATGTATAATACTTTATAGGGGGGGATATGATACGCCAATGGTATAAATACATCGGGGGGGAATAAGATCTCCATGTATAATACATGAGGGGGATATGATATCCCCATTGTATCAATACATAAGGGGGATATGATCCATCCATTGTATAATTTACATAAGGGTGGATATGAACTCCAATTGTATTAATACATAAGGGGGGATATGGGGGTCTCCATGATATACTACAACATAAGGGGGGATATGATATCTCATGTATAATACATAAGGGGGGATACGATATACATGTATAATACATAAGGGTTGATATGATCTCCATGGTATATATACATATACGGGGGAATATGATTCTCCATGTAATAATACATTAAGGGGGGATTTGCCTGTAGGTAACAGTAATGGATTCTTTCTTTGATACTCAGTAATATAACCAGATATAAACATTTATAGGGGGAAATTTTGATCCAGGGGAATATCCGATTGCCTTTCGGGGGGTCAGGAAGGAAATTTTTTGTTCCCCTCCCTGCTGGAGAAATTGGATCGTGCTTTGCTGGGTTTTTGCCTTCTGGTGTGACCAACTGTGGGTGTAGGATTAATAACTTTTATTTTAATGGTCCAACTAGATGGGCTGTTTTTTTTTCAGCCAGACTATAACTATGTAACTATGTAGGTCCCACACCGCTGCCTCCCATCTCCTGAGACTGCACTCAGTGACTTGGGTCTGAGACACTACAGACATATCCCTCCACCCGGCACAGCCAGCAGACAACAGATCTTGCTAGATCTGGGTATTGTTAAGAACCCCAAGACATCATGCCCCAAAGTGCTTAGGTAGAGAAACACCTATGAAAGAAGATGAACATTTTGCTGCCAGCTGAAGCCCCAGAAACCTCCATAAATCCAGTCTAGATACATAAATTGTGTCTGAAGCACAGAGAAGGAAGATTATCCGAGAGAAATCCAGGAATACAGGACGGGGAACACACAGCTCAGGAAAGTGACCAGGGGATTACAGGCTGATATCACCCAGTCCCCGCCCTTACTCTGGACCAATCAGTGAGCAGTATGGGTGGAGGAATGGATTTAGTGTTCATGACCCACCTGTGCTGATCTCTGTAGGAGGTGTCCTCCTCTATAAATGTCCCCGTTATTCCATCCTCCTCCATAGACTGCTGATCATCCCTCACATACGCCTCTTCTTCTTCTGCTTTAACCTCAAATTCCATATCGATTGGATCTCCACACTCTAATCAAGGAAAATGAGAGAGAATATCAATCTGTAAAATGTAAGGTCACTTTAAAAAAACTCCACACATTGTCTCTATGAATCCATGTTCTAGATTCGCTCCATCCCACCAACCTTGTAATAGTGAGGGATGGTGTGACCTTTCTGTGTGGAATCCCGGGAATACAGAGGACGGGGACATCTCTCTTTGGGGGTTCCTGGTATTAGGTGGCTCCATCATATCCTTGTGTCCTTCTGAAAAACTCCTCCATCACTCCATACTCCTCATCCTCCTCTTTATACTCTTTTTTAAACATCAATATTATCATCCCCGAGGATTCCACTCTGAAAGATATAATAAAACATTCATTGTAACAAACATGCTGTGTATAAATCACAACTACCAATAATTGTCAATCATCGACCTGATGATGGTGAGGGACTGGTGTGACCTTCCAGTTCTGGAATCCCTGGGAATAACAGAGGACGGGGACATCTCTCTGGTGGTGGGTTCCCATGACTGGATCCATCTGTAGGAAACACACACACTGACTGAATCCATTGTTTCTATGTGTTTATCAGATGATGGGGGATCTAGGTGGATCCTCCGTACTGCTCTCTCCTTACAATAAAGTCTCCTCTTACACCGGTGATGTGAGGGGCAGCTGATTGTCCATCATGACGTCCTTGTAGAGATCCTTGTGTCCTTCTAAATATTGATGTGTATCATCATCTTCTAGAGATAAAAGACGTCACAGTGACTATGGAGGAAGAGGACGGACATGATGGGGGCATTACTGGGTGTAAATAGAACATAACATCTTATTACCTCCTCTACTGGCACATCCACCAACGTCTCCGATCTCCTTCACATCACATGGAACTTCTTGTCTTTATTTCAAATTGACTTCCTGTCTGTTCCTGACATCACTTCCTGTCTGTATTCAATAGAGAAGTCCTGTCCCCTGGATAGTAGAAATGGGATCACCATCTTGTGGAGTTCAAGAGGAACTGCAGCCCCGAGAAAACGTCCCCTAATAACCATTCCTGCATTGTATCTACCTTACAGAGATACCAGGGAAGTGCCAAAATAACTTAAAAAAAAGTAAGAAACCGTAAACCTAACTCTTATGAAACCAACTGTTTAAAAAAGATATTTTACTACTACAGATAGAAAAGTCTTAAAAACTCAGAACACAAGATAAAAAAAAAGGTATATATAACAAAACAGAGACCTCCAAAATCAGACACACTACCCAGAATGTCCCATCCTCCATATCAGAAGAGGGACAGTGACTACCCAGAATGTCCCATCCTCCATATCAGAGAGGGACAGACTACCCAGAAATGTCCCATCCTCCATATCAGAGAGGGGACAGACTACCCAGAATGTCCTGTCCTTCATATCAGAGACTGAGACAGACTACCCAGAATGTCCCATCCTCCATATCAGAGAGGGACAGACTACCCAGAATGTCCCGTCCTTCATATCAGAGAGAGACAGACTACCCAGAATGTCCCATCCTTCATATCAGAGAGAGACAGACTACCCAGAATGTCCCATCCTTCATATCAGAGAGAGACAGACTACCCAGAATGTCCCATCCTTCATATCAGAGAGGGACAGACTAACCCAGAATTGTCCCGTCCTTCATATCAGAGACTGAGACAGACTACCGAGAATATCCCATGAGAGAGAGACACAACTACCCAGGTATATGAACCAATCGCAGATCAGCAGGTGGCTACAGGTTACTACCCCACAGGGTTATGAGCCAATCATAGATCACCAGGTTGTCGGAACTGTTCTGGGCTCACAGAATGAAACAGGAAGGCCTGAACTTTTCATCTCTACATGGACTTGCTGGAAGCCATTTTGTTCTGTATATTCTATTTCATGGTTTCTGAACTCAGATTCTAAGAGCATTCCAAGGTGGTTACAGCTTATGTTCCCAGGTTATAAATCTGGGGGGAGGTATGGTGGGATCAGACGGCTACAAGATGAAGACTAGACATGACACCAAGTGGTAAGATAAATGGATGAGTCCATGTCTAGATTGAACAAAGGACACAAGAACTGGTCACAATGATTATTTCCCATAATCCTCTGGAAAGAGTGCATATTATACCTTACATTGTATATGGTGTTATTATTATGTGACAGGAATATCTTATCCAAAAATGTCAATTGTATTATTATTAGTATTACATGAAGTGAATGCTTGCTTACTTATGTCATCCAGGTTTATATTACTAGATTCCATTTCCACATACATATATTTATATGAAATGATTTAAAAATGAATACATATTGATATATTGCGGATATTCATAAACTCCCATGGCTTTAAGTACCATCTCTATTCTGATGACACACAAATCTATCTTTCTACTCCTCACCTCACCCCTTCAGTCTCCTTCTCACCTCACCCCTTCAGTCTCCTCCTCACCTCACCCCTTCAGTCTCCTCCTCACCTCTTCAGTCTCCTCTCGCATTACTAACCTACTAAGTGACATATCGGCATGGATGTCACTCCACTTCCTCAAACTCAATCTTTCCAAAACTGAGCTCTTAGTATTCCCCCCGTGCCCCCTCCCCTGACTTCTCCATCAAGATCAATAATACAACCATCATTCCCTCCCCTCATGCCAGTGTACTAGGTGTAATCCTAGACTCCCATCTGTCCTTTCAGCCCCAAATCCAATCACTGTCCAAATCTTGTAGACTTCACCAAGGCAACATCTCCAAGATACACCCGTTCCTAACCTTGACTATTGTAACTCGCTCCTCATTGGTCGACCTCATCGCAGGCTATCCCCACTCCAGTCTATCATGAATGCTGCTGCCAGACTCATCCACCTTACTAACCGTTCTGTATCTGCCACTCCTCTCTGCCAATCCCTCCACGGCCTCCATTCATTGTCCTTCACCCCTCTATGCCAATCTCTCCAATGGCCTCCATTCACTGTCCTCCACCCCTCACTTCCAATCCCTCCACTGGCCTCCACTCAGTGTCCTCCACCCCTCTCTGCCAATCCCTCCACTGGCTTCCCATTGCCCAACGGATAAAATTTTAAAAATTAACATTAACATATAAAGCCATTTATAACTCTGCCCCAAATTACATCACCAATCATGTCTCCAAATATCACCCAAACCATCATCTCCGCTCCTTGAATGACCTCCTCTCTCTAGCTCTGTTGTCTCCTCCTCCCATGCTCATCTCCAGGACTTTTCCAGAGCTTCCCCCATCCTCTGGAACTCTCTATCTCAATTTATCAGACTATCGCTACTCTGCTCACTATTAGGCAATCTTTGAAAATCTATCTCTTCAGGGAAGCCTATCCTGCCCTCAGCTAATATTGGAATCTTCTCCTCCTACCTGTCCATCCCCCACAGTTACTACCTTTTGTAACACTAGCCCCTCCCCCTTAGATTGTAAGCTCCAAGGAGCAGGGCCCTCCTATCCCTCTTGTATTGAACTGTATTGTTGCTGCATTGTCTCCTGTTATATTGTAAAGTGCTGAGCAAACTGTCGGCGCTATATAAATCCTGTATAATAATAATAATATACTGTTTTTAACATTATAAAGTATCAGTTTGAGTTCATTGTATGACAACGTTGTTATGTTACAGAAGACGTGAGATAAGAAGTCTCAGTATAATGACCTCATCTTTTTGTAGGATGTATAGGTAGATTTTTCTTCTCCAGAATCACTTAATACATTATTTGCAGTGACATTGGTACATGTTTGTCTGAAACCAACCCGTCAGAAAAGCAGTTATCTGGTAATGTCCTTGCTAGCCAAGGTTAAAGGTCAACCCTTGACATGTTCCAGAAGACCCAAATCTTTCCCAATCCTATACTGCCCCCTTCAGTCCATTGAACTCTTTATATATAGAAATGACACCAAGTCTGAGGGCACTTTTAGGTGAAGATAAGCTTTGCCCGCCTAGGTTTATGTGGGGGATAAAAGTAAGAGACGGATAGAGAGGAGGCCACATCACCAAAGAGACATCACAAGACAGGAGACAAGGGACAACAGACGGACACAGACACCCCCTGAAGTGAGCGCACTGAAAGCTGACATCACTGACACCATACAGTCCATATTGGGAACTAGAACTTTCATTTTCCTCAGATAACTTGTACTCCCCTTATATCTCCAGATACATTGTTTAGTCCGATAACGGTTCTGGTGAGCACAGGAGGTGATGTGAAGTCATTTTATCTGCAGTATAAATTATTTTCATTTCAATCCTCAGGGGAAATTTTATTTTAAATATCCCTGAAGCTGATTTTGGCTTCTAGTCAATGGTTTATCTGGATGTACATATATGACAAGGCAGACAACTTTGTGTAACATTAGATCTTCATCTCAGATTGTAAGCGGATTGGATTGGCCTATGTATTATAACGCACATGTAAGATTTGAGTAGCTGAGATGTGATCTGTAGAAATATGACAATGTAGGTTTAGCTTCAGTCCATGTTATAATAATATAAGATGTGTTCAGAATTAAGTCAGAGACATATGGTCACCAATTAGCATCTAAAACGACAGAGCATCCTCTAGACAGGAGGTGACACCTGAATGCCAATAAGATTTGTCACCTTCTGGAAATCTGGAAGGAAAAGGCTCTAGACAGTTCAGCTTCATGACACAATGGGAGACCAGAGGTGGTTCCGATGTGTCTGGGAGCTTTGAAGTACTGTATATACACAGATCAAAAGAAATATATTTAATCTCTCATAAAAGCTAAAATATTAGTTGCAGAGAGATGAAAATACTTCCTTCTGATTGGACACACTGTAGGCTACATCTGCATGTAAAACTGTATTTGTAGCCTATGTTGAATCCCAGAGAAATGCAAAAAATGGTTATATGGCGCCTGATTGCGACAGCTGAACAGAGATTGGTACTGTCGCAATCCGACTAATGCGCTGGTGTCGGAAATTCAATCCCTGACTTGGTGATTCAAACCGTTCCTGGTCCAATCGACTTTGGGCATTTAAGTACCCAGAATGTCCTGTGGGCTGGTACAGGAACACCCCCCAGAGTTGATTGGCCAAGGGCTAATGTCCAGCCTACATCCATATTCCCATAAATTGAGGACCTGAGATATGGACAGTGCGAGTCATATGGGGTCGGTTCTATTGACTGGTGGATCGCGGACTTTCTCTGACTTGCTCCAGTCGCAGGATAACTCTTGGTAAAAGTTTTATTTCTGTTTTTATTCCCTTTTTTTTATAGTCAATAGCCAATTGTGTGTCTTCTTGTAATTTTTGTATTTTCTGTAACTCTTTATACTTTGTACATATTTTATGCACTGCCCACTTTCGGGATATTAAATCATAAAATAAATAAGTGACTTCTGGCTACTTAAGCTCGGGCTCATATCTCCGGAGAGATTAGATTGTATTGTATTGCAGTGTCTTTATATACGCTCAGTCAAGTTCATTGCCAATCTGTATGCAATTGCACTGCATGTTGGCAGATTGCATGCAGATTGTAAAGGTAACAGATCTGCCAGATGGAGATCTGTGTGTGTGTGGTGGCCCAGCAGGCCAGTCTGCGGATAACATTGTTGGGTGGTGGCAAGCTACCGTTTGTGGTGTGTCTGGTGTGGCGGGTGTGTGGATAGTGGAAGACTGATTAACACCGGGTTCTATCTTGTAGGATAGCTGGAAATTTTTTTATTTCAAGAGAACTTGAG